TACGAACACCTATCTCGTGGGCGTAAAAAGTCTGCTGACCTTGAACTTTACCGCGGCGTACAAAGTCTGCCCGTGCGAACGCACGCTAATGCAATTTAATATTTTAATTACAAAAACGGTGAATCATAAAGTCACCTATTGTACAAAGATAGCTCGCATATAAATTATCTATTTTTATGGACTAAATTGCGTTATTAAAATTATGCGGTTATAATTCCTAGTTTATTAATTGAAAGAACATGTTTTAAGTATCAAATTACCATCATTATTTTTTCCTAGTTTCAATAGGAAATAAAGTAAACGAGAAATATTGCAGTGTATACATAAAAAGGTTGTTTTCATTGTTAGTTAAAGGATTATCTCAAATGTTATTAATATTACACAGGAAATTAAGGCATTCGTTTGTAATATGCTTCGTTGTATTTTTCAACCTTTATTCCATGTTTCGAACATTAAAGTTAACGGCTGTTATTCATATCATCAAAAGAGTTGTTATACAAATGTTTTGTCAGTGTAAACGCAGAGTAATATACTAGATGCATTTTGTTTGTCACATATTTGTGTCAAAGAATGTAAAGAAAGAGCACATTTTTGGAATTTGTACAAAAAAAATTGCGGCCGCGTTCTAGTTTTAAAACTGGAAACAATAGAAATGGCAGCGTGGTTCGCGCAATGTTCCCGCCATAATGACCGGCCGCTTAGGCTTAACACATTAATTGTACTCATATCTAAAAAGGGGGTTTACGTGACCTGATTTGCTATGAACAAAAATAATTAAATGGGACTAGATAAACTGCAGAACCATCTTCAACCGGTAATCTAGACTAGGCCATTAACGTAGTCCAGGGTGGCTGTTCTATTTTTTTAGACGTGCCATCAAGTTTTGACTGATTATTACGTAAATTCCATGATACGCGGTAATGACATCGCCGTCATCATCATCATCATCATCACCAGCTCACTATACGTCCCCACCGAGGGCTCGGAGCCTACCCTAAAGTTAGGGTGACTAGGCCATAGTCAACCACGCTGGCCATGTGCTGGTTGACATCGCGGTCGCTTTCTATATAATATCTACTTCATACTTTTTCGTAGTGTTTTTATGATCATCGACGCGCCCAAAATATTGTGCCGTGTTAATTATGGCACGCCTTCCAATGGTTCAAAACCCTGACCTAGTCTTATTACCTTTTTTTTTGAATATCATGGAGAGCAGCTCCTCCTCCCACGTTCACCATATTCTGTTTTTATCTTAAAATAAAAAAACACTGAAAAAAACTTACCGATGCTTCATATGTCCAGTAATATCCAAACATAGTTAGCAATCTTTTCACTAAAAAGGTCTATTTTGTAGATGTCATTATTGATCTTAATTCAATCGATCTTAGCCTCATTAGAATGTAAAGTAAAAAGAAAGTTGTAATGTTATATAAACTCTAAAACTATTTCGATTATCTAACATCTAATCTTGATCGAAAGATGCACTATTAAATAATATACTTCTTATCGAAAACAAATAATAAACATTGAGAATTTCTCTCGGAGCTGTAATTGCAACGTCTGTTTGCTCCAATAAACTTTCTTATTGGAAAGCTGTCACAAGTTTCACGGTCTGGCGGCTACGGAAATGTCGAGCCTACATCTTAATATTTAGAACCGATCCCTTTCATATGTTCGTCGAGCTGAAATTCATAGCATATTTACTAAAATTCGGTACACTTGTTTTAACATTGTATTAAGTTGTTGAAGAGAAATAAACAAAGGAATTGTATCTGCATAGACTTACTTTTTCGTTAATTTATTGATAAACTAGCTTTTGTCCAAGACCCCGTCCGCGTAGAATTAATAAAAAACAAAAGCAAAGAGCTTATGTGTTCTGCCAGACTATGTTTTACATCTATGCCAAATTTCATTCAAATCCGTTTAGCAGTTTAGGCTACAAACTCTAACAAACATCCATCCATCTAAACTTTTATAATGTTAGTATGAAATATGATATAACTAAGAAAGAGTAAAAAGTATTGTTAAACTCTTTTCACTTATCTAAAATATGTTATAAGTCGGAATTTTGACTGATTTGAAATGAAACAAATATTTTCATGCAGTAAATAATTTTATTTCAAAAACTTCTTATATCATCAACCCTTCGTTATATTTGTCGTGAACGTGGAATTATGTATCTTTGCTTAAACAGCTATTATCCATCATTATTGTCTCCCAGGATAACACCTGAATTCACATCCGTAATTACTTCCAAATCTTTTTATAACTTTGAACAAAATTAAGAAGGAAACTAAACCCAGAAATATCAATACATTATGGAAGACGATATAAATTTTATCTACTTCTTTCAATCTATGATCCTTAATTAATAATTTCTTTTAAAATTTATCTTTAATCTATGTTGATAAATTAAATAAATCGGGATTTAATACTTGGGAGTCGAAATTTAAAACAATAATCATTATATCGTTTATATTAATAAACAATTTAAGAAAAAAACTAATTTGTATTTTTGTATATTAAAATTCGATTTTTTATTAACAAAATTGATACTTTTAAATACGTATATCAATGATCCTCGCATCTATTATTTAAAGGTGTTCTCCACAAATTTATTAAGTCTACCAACTCTCTAATAGGTAACCCGATATTTTCAACTTCAAATTCAGAATCTTAGTATTTAATATCAGTTTCATAAAATTCAAGATTTGCATATCTTAATTTTGGCTTTTGATTTGCAAGAAGCCGAATTTGATATGTGGAAATTCGATTCCGTTTCAGAAAAAACTGCATTTCATTTGAAAGAGTCCGAATTTAAAGTTAAAAATATATATAACTTTAATAATTTCCTTGGGAAACAAACTTAATTTATCACTTCAATACCTTTCTAAGGATATGAATAGTTTTTAGATTTATTTACACATCGTTTATCATTTCTTAGATAAATTTCTCTAAATCATTAAATACGTCATCTATTTCTTGTTCAACAGTTTCTGTGTTAATTTTGAATGAACTATTTTTATTAGTAATAATTATAATTAATATCCAATGTTTTTATTCATTAAATAATTTAATTTTATACATTTCTATGTCATTATGAATTTATCTGCGGATTTACAATTGAAAATAATTTTTATAAAAATGGCAGTTTAATATCACGTTTAATTTTAAAATCAAGATAAAAATTGCTCATCCAATTTTTCAACAATTTGACGTCATTATTGCCAGACAAATATAATTAAATACTTTAATTTCATAATAATATTAAATGTAAATTATTATACAAAAAAAGATTCTATAATTATTTTTAATTTTCTATGCACACGTTTTGTATATTTACATTTAAACTGACTGAACGAATATCACAAAATAATCGGTCAATGCTCATTGTGCGCTTTTTCACTCTCACACAAACCTTTTACACCGTGTACATAGAAAACATATTTATATTAATTTTAAAACATACACTCACTCAATTATATTAAGGAACACATTATTGACAGTGTTATAATTTTGATAATATTAAGAATAATAATTTAACATCTGATTAGGTCTTGGTCCAAACTATATACACATATTACTGTAATTTCCGTGTATTTAAATACATGATCTCTGGATAATTTTAATTTAACGTTGAAACATTTTCGAATGTTAATCGGAATCAATCATTATGTCTAATAAAATAACCGCCACGAATCTTTGTGATACCGAAGTTAGCAATAAATAACCCCGCAGTTCCTCGAAATTCTATTTCCGTGCAAAAACCATTCAATATTTTTAAAGCTAACTTCAGATCCACAAACATTTGAGACGTGACATCAGATGTAATCATTGAACTTGTCAGCATTTAGCTTCTAATACATATTATAATTAATATTAATATTATCAACAATTTTCATATTCCAACATTAAAATTCTCTTATTTAGTGAAGAGAAAACAATAATAGATATGTTGAGACTCCGCGGGAGAAGCCAGTCAAACTGTTGTGACTCTGTCGACTTCTACGTAACGCACGGAGTCTTCGCTTGGTCAGCAAATCACTTCCTTCTCTTCAAATATTGCCGTATCTGATGACAGACTCTTGAGACGATGCTGCAGAGCTGATCGTCTACGGCGGCAGGAACGAGCTGCCGCTATCTATGTATGGAATTAAATAAGAACGATAAATATCAAAGTTGACTAAGGAGTCATGGAGAAGGCGTTTAGAATGAGGTTGTTAAATATGAGATTTTTGTATGATGGTTAATCACAAAAGATTAAATGAATTTCAAAACTTACCACAGCAATCACAGTAAGGATAGTAAGCGCAAGCATCGCTGCAGCATAATGTGCGGGAACTCGGAGCAGCGCCGAACACTCAGAAAGGCGTTCGTCCTCGCCCTGAGGACACTGCACCACACCGTCACACCAAAGCGCTGGAGCGATGCACGCGTCCAGCGATGCGCATTTATACTGGCACTCGCCAGATAATGCAAAAACACCACCACGTTGACTGGCATGTCTAAAACAAATGAATAATTGAAAACCAATCAAATACCCCAAAACCAAGACATTATGTGGAACTTCGCATAATCGTAGTCGTCATAAAAGTATGATTATACCTTCTAGAAAGTTCCAACCACGTGATATAATACGATCCACTTTCTTCTGCTAATAACTCAACAGATAAAGATCGTGGCCAGTCCAAATCAAAATGATCAGGTGATGGAGGAGGTGCCAAAACATGACGCGCTAGTGGTTCCACTTCCTTTGACCAACCATCCGAAAAAATTTCCACCGTATCATCCTACAATGTTTGATGAAAATTGAAAATAAGAATTTTTATTTTATTATAATTACTGCCGCGTTCAAATTGGTCAACAATTAACCAACTCTGAGTACGGCAAGTAATCAACAAAAAATTATATTACCGGATCCTGAGGGGGATTAGGGCAGATAAATATAGGTGACAATCCTCCAGCATACACCGCTATACGATTTGGTGTTCTGCACAAGTGTCTCAAATCTGGTGCAACCGTTATATTGTTCAGTAAGGTGAAGTTATCCAGTTCAGGTTCCTTTATAATGTTCCCTCTGATTTGTAGATACAGATATCTACCGGGCGATGGATCTATCAGCCAAGGACGATGTTCACATCGATCCTGTTGGAAAATAGACTACAATTAATAACTAAGGACTAATTATTAACTAAGGATTACTTACTTAACTAAGGGTATTTTATGTTGTATTTTGCTATGTTTTTTTTTAAGAATTGGGAGTAAAATCAAAAATCTTAATTTCACAAGAAAGTTTAAAATTCAAATAACATTTTATGAGAGAAAATTTTTACAGCGAACAGTAAAAGAGTGGAACGATTTGCAGCGAAATGTACGTAATAAAATGGCTTCTGAGTAAATAGCCATTTTCCTTGAATAGTTTGCATTATCTTCAATCAAATCGAACAAGGAATGGGTGACTTTATAGAAGTACTACTTCAGCTCGTTCTAGAAATACGGATATAGAAACTCAATATAAAGGCAATTTTATACGACACGAATACAAATATGAAGGCACCTTTACAATAGAAAGCATGTGTACATTTCATATGTACATTCTTCACTAGCTTTCTATGTCTATACGAGTATATGGCGGCAATTCCCTAAATGTCACGTAATATCAACATACTAACCAATTCTGTATTTGGCGAAGACATCAACCTTAATTCTCCGCTAGCGCCAAAAGCCCGATGCGTGTTCTCGCATAATATTTCCTGACGAACAAACTCGACAGTCGCCTCGAAACCAAACGATCGGAAATCATCCGTGGCAGTCATATTTACCACGTCGAATTTTAACTCCGCTACAGTCGTCTTTGATATAAATTCATAATCACCAACGTCGCTACAAACCAAATTAGATTTCATATTACCTATTATAGAACAAATGAATCGGTTTATATTCATTTTTACTTCTAAGAAAAGAACTTAAGTAACTGATAAAGGAAAAGATAATCTTTACAATCTCAAACAGACCTTATTCAGATCGAATTATTTCATATTGTTATTAAATTCGTCACGAAAAGAAATTAGATTTTTTTTATTGAATGAGAAAATAAATACTAAATTACCTGCACAAGCAGTCTCTAGGCACTCTCGGTCCGTTATCTCGCCAAGGTCTCTCGAACACCCTGAGGGCGGCGGTGGGGTCACCCCCGCAGCGGTACCAGGGCGAGTGCGCCGAGTGCACCGACCTGCACAGCCTGCCCCCGCTCCTTATGCCCCACACGCGCAGCCTTATCACCTCACCGACATTTGCTTCGAATCGGTACGTACAGCTAAGGAACACGTAATTTATTCTACCTCGTTGTAATGACATTTCAGTAACATCATTATCATCTTATTGTATAAACATTCATCAGAACAGTGTTAACGAAATAAATGATAGTCTAAAATTTAGGCATTACGACGTCAACACTATACCTTGGAATTTTTTGCAAGAAGATCGTTTGTATCGTGATCAGTGCTGTACGACAACTAATATAAAAAGGGATATAACAAATTGTACTGTACCTTATATTGCGCTTTCCACCTCGTCCGTACAAAAACACGTCCCTGGGGGAAGAGAAGCTAACGGGCGGGTCGGGCGGTGCTTCGGGAAATGAACGCGACGAGAAACGTCTCGAACATGGCCCTTGACCCCACGGCTCACCGTCTTGATGCAAATCGACAAACTCGTACAAAGCCTTGAAGAATACGGGTCTGGAAGTAGCATGAATACATGTTTCTCAAAGGATTTTATACTTTATTCTAGGTAAATAAGATATACAAGCTACAAAGACGAACACATTTGTGGTAAGCTATCAGTCTTTTTTATACGATATTGTGTCTGAATATATTTTCAGACAAGGCGAAAAAATGTGTTACTTTAAGAGTAAAAAATAATAAAAATATCCAATGAAGTATATAAATGAATTTGTTTTTAGCAGAATGAAAACATTAGTAAGATTATATTTTGATACACTAAAAACGTAGTTTAAAACTAATAAAGTGACAGACTAGTAATGTTCATGGTAACGACATCGACTTACTTCAGAGCGGTCCCCTGAGTCAGCTTCAATTCTAAAGTTAAAGAGTCCCCCTTGGAGAGGAAACTTTCTGTACGAGTGCAGGCTCTAGATTTACGTAATAAAGCATGTTCACACGTGCGAGGTGCGCGCTCGCGGCAGAATCGCGCGATCAGTGTGGCATTGGTCGGAGGACGGCCGACAATAACCGATTGCGGTGAAGTCGCTCTTGACATCTGCACTGAACGCTCTCTATCACTGAAACAAGTACAATCCTTGTATGTTGGCTTTACTTGAAACACATTTTGCATCATAATTAGCACTCCAGGTACGTATTATAACTACGTCATCATCATCATCAAAATCAGCCTTTGTCTGGCCACAGCTGAACATAAGGGATATCTTCGTACTAACATAATATTAGAAATCATAAGTTCACTTGTTATTGCAAAAAATTTATTTTCATTTGTTAAATTGAATAAATCTGGATCAAAAATTATATAACCCAAAGAGAAACCAAAATAGTCAGATAATAAATTCAGTTTATCCATTTGGGAGTCATAAATAAATGTAAGCTTAACCATAAACCGCTTGAAAATTCGAGCCAATAAAAACTCACCAGAATATATCACTGCAGCCTGGCGATATTCGCATTGGACCGTCCCATATATTCAAATGGCTACCGCAATACTCATCCTCAGGCAAGTTCGGATTCAACGCGTTCGTTACATAAAACTTTAACACGGAGAACCAAACGCGGAATCTTGGCGCTGAGAATGATGGCCGTCTGTAGATAATGTTCCGACCAGACGGTCCTGAAGTGTCGATCCCTTGCATATGGTAGAGACAGGTTGTGTTAGGAGGGAGGGAGTGCTGAGGATGTTCTAACACACCTTTCCCAGTCCCCCTAATCCAGAATTCGCATGCTCTTTTGTTCTTCGCATAAGTAGGTGATTGTTGATCTACGAATCTAACCTAGAATTAAATCCAGATTTTAAACTGTTTTTCAATACTCTTATTGTACCTTTGTACTTTAACTTTATTAATTAAATTGCTACTGTGCATATTATTTAACAATAGAAAAGCAATACTCATTTCATAGAAAATTACACAAGTAGGTTAGGATGACAGTTCGCTATTGCTGTGACCCGTTTTAAAGTCAGCGACATCGTTCCCACTTTTTACCAGGAAATGGGAAAGAATTTGTGTTTAAAAACAGAGAAATTCAGGCCTTGCCACTTTTCCTGTGCAGTATTTCTCGTATGTCGGTACTCGTGCGTCGGTTTATTGGAATGTTCGTTAGCAAATTGTGACAGTTCGTTAAAAATGTGTGCTACGTTGATAACCTCTTTAGTTTTATTCTGCATTTTTTTGTTAAATAAACAATTGTTCATACTTCCAAAGCTTGAATAAGTATGTCAATATTCTAATTTTTACTTTACTTACTTAACAACAAATTAACAAGAGTTGTTTATAAATCTCCTAAGTAAATAAAAGGCTTGATGTTATATGCTGACCCGGATAATACAAGGTCATGATTATCTGGCTAATTGAGATTCAATGATACGTAAGTGAAGTCGTAGGAATTAACTAGTAAAATATAATTCAATAATACATTCCCTTGGGCGACTTTTTAATTAAATAGGCAGTACTAGTTTAAACAATAAATATTTTTTAAAAGAAAATGTTTTCTAACAATGTCTCCGTGATTAGGAAGCAAAGTTTATTTATAGAGTCTATATATGGACATTTCTAACGATTAAAACATGGTTACTTACTGCAAAGTTATCGATATTAGAAAAAAAATTTAGTAAAACAAATAATGAAATGTGTAAGTCACCTCGACTTCCAACTGGAATCCATGAAGCGATTGTAACGTCGCCGGTTGTAAAAACGTTCCAAAAGGCGAAGTCGTAAATTCCACAAGCAATTCGGGTCCGCTCGATATCGCCTCGGGGACTGCCACCCCGCCGCCGCAGAATCTTAGAATAACTGGGTCTCTTGTCGTGTAACCATCATAAACGGTTACATAGTCCTGAACTTCATCACATTGTTGCCAGAATTTTAGTTCCCTACCATTGTTCCCTCTTTCTTGCTGAGCTGTAGCGTACAATGCTTTCTGACTTCTGATAGATACTAGCTGACCATTCGGTTGTTTGACTATAATCAATGCGTGTTTTCCTTGAGGTACTTCATGCTGTCGCACCGCATAGTAACATGTCAAATTCCTCGGATACACTCCTGGATAATTGGGGGACTGCAATCTACACTTTTTACGATCGCAGTCGCTGAATATCCTCGAGCAATAAGTCCCAGATATTAAATCTCCGAGGTAATATTCCAAGTTCCTCGGCCTAGCGACGTTTATTTCATCGTTACGTGATATGTTTAATGTAGGGGGTAACGGTCTGAGTTTGAAAAATGGCCGCTCTGAAAATAATAAGGATTTAAGTGTTGGGACAAAAATTATTACGTAATACAAAGCTTTTAATGTATCAAAAATATTAGCAACGATGACTTTAATGATACCGTAGTAATTGGACTAGAATCAGGACTATTTTTTTAAGTATTTTAGATTAAATAAAGGAAAAAAAGAAAAAACTAAATATTTAAAACCTTAAACAATATACAAACATTTACCAGAGGGCGGTGATCCTCCATATCTCACAGTAGCATATTCCTTTCTTAGCACTTTATACGCCATACGAAAGTCAAAGTTATAATTATTCTGTTCCTTTGATAGATGTAATAATCTTATAATTAGAGTTATAGACTTCGTCTCGCTGTAGTATATAGAGGGTCCCCAAGATGTGCCACACCATGAACCGCCAACTTGTGGTCTACTGGCCTCTTGGATTTGCATGTAGCCGTCAGGACAGCCATCTTCAGTAAAAGATGTGAAGCGACCGAGTGTAAAACTATCGAATAAAACCTGATAAGAAAACTTGCTATTAATATCATGAAAGAGAAATAGTTAAAATATTGATAAATCTCTAAATCTTCGTAGATTTTAAACGGTTTTCGGTGGTTTTAAAAAATTACAGAATTGAATCTAAAATAAAGCCTACGTCATAGATTATCCAAAAATCAATTCACTATATTATGGTGTTCATAGTTTTAAATTCAGAGTAAAATACCCATAGTATCTCGTAAACAAGAAATGTTTAGAACTAAAAATCCATCCTGAAACAAGTCTTACCTGCACTAAATCCCCATGTACACCGCCAGCAGCTGTGATTGTCAACAGACATACATACGGAACCAAATCTTCTCGAGGTCTGTGTAGTTCCAGTTCGTATGTTCTGCCAATATCACCATAGTATGTTCTGTTACAACCTGACACCAAAGAAAAACAAATTTTAAGTTGAACTAACTAACCTTTGACATCGTAAATGTTATTGTTACTTTACTAATAACCAACAAGTAGTAAGTAGCTAGAATAAATTTAATAATCTAAAATAAAACCTTAAATTATGATTAAAATATTCATAAATTGTTTTATACTACCGGTAACGGAAATTTGATTAACATTTTTCCAAAATAAATGCAAAATAGACGGTAGCAAATCTTTAACGATTACTGTCTCACAAAGGCTTTTGAAAGGGGCATTACTGTCGTGTTTGTGTAACATAACCAACATGCTCCACGCGACGTAAAGATGAATATCCTGGATCCAGTTTTCAAGAGCTCTTTATATAATGGAAGGCTGTGCTCACGCCGGCGCAGCCCTTCACTGCGGTACAGGACCGCTTTGTGCTATATTCAAAGCGTAAATCGCAATTTAGACCCTTTTTTAATTCATCGGTCAAATACATGACACTTTAAAAGCAGAAAAACTGACAAACCTTAATTTCATAGCAATTATTTCTATATTTAAACACGGTTGACATACAATACTGAAGACTGTTTACTCTAAAAATTCCAATACACTAAATATTAGGCGATTAACCTTGTACGATTAAGCAACTAAAACATTAATGAACTAGCTATTGCTCGCGACTTCGCCCCCGAGGCTAAATGTTTAATTTAAAGAATACTAAACATTTAGCCTATGTTATTTATTAATAACGTAGCTTTTTATTGGTGAAAGAATTTTTGAAATCGGCTCAATACTCTTTGAGTTATTTCAATACATACAAAAATACAAATCTTTCCTCGTTATAATATTAGTATAGATGAAAGCAAAAAAGACATGTTTAAAAAAATATGATATGTTTGAATTTTCGTAAAATTTACAGTTAAAAATGCTTTTTTCTATTCTAACGAATGAATTAAATGTTTTAAAACGGTTTCGTATAAATATAAAACATAAAACCTTTGAGCACAAAGGCTTTGTTTCTTCATTACAATGCGCACCACTAAGGTGGATTTTTGTTAACCTAAATATGTTTTTAAACAATGGTTACAAACAGAATAATTTAAAAAAATATACAGATATTTCAATAACATTAATCTTAAGTTGCTTGCTTTGATTAAAGTAGAGTAACACATAAGCTATTTTTTTGACCGACTTCCCAAAAGAAGGAGGTACTCAATTCGTCTGTATGTTTTTTTTTTTTTTTTTTTTTTTTTTTTTTTTTTTT